TTTCTAGGTAATTTTGAAGTGGCCTAGAAAAAACCAAATTTGCAAAAGTTAGGCCACCACTTCAAAATGGCTTAAAGTTGCCCTAACCTGACTCTGGTATGATTTCTAGGCCATTTTGAAGTGGTGGCCGAGAAAACCAAATTTGCAAAAGTTAGGCCACCACTTTAAAATGACAAAATAAACGAGAAAACAATGTCAGCAACGGAAAAAAACTGAAAAAAAGGTCGCAAACGACACTCCGAAATTCCGCACCGCGCATTGTTTAGCACATTTCTCGAGAAATTTCGAGGAATCCATTCCTCGAAAAATTCCAATTTCTCGAAAAAAAATTTCGAGAAATTATTGTCAAAATTTCCTCGAAAATTTTTCGAAAAGACCATTTCTCGAGAAATTTTTTTCGAAAAGACACACTGGCTGTGACCTAAAAGAAATATTCGTTCAGGTATCTTCAACGGAATCATCTTCATTGGATGCAATAAAGACGCTCGTCGGTTGATAACCATGAAGTATAGAAATATGAAAAACGACTCCACTTCTGCAGTAATCCATAATACTGCGATCGTCAAGTATTGATAATAACTATCACTCGAAACTGAAATCTTTCGATTTTGATTCCTTTTTTTGTTCTAAAGTTAAGTAGAAAAGTTTTTCATAAAATGCACCACGGTGACCTAATTTTCTGAACATAAATTTTTCGGCCACCAAAGTTTATGACCTAGAAATTGAATAACATAACATTCACCAGGTTTTGTATGTGCGCATGTATGTAGCGCCCCTTATCTCCCCCATTCAAAGTTAACCGACCAAGCTGAAACCTGGACAGATAGATCAGAATTGTGTCTTAGTTGATGCCCGAACTTTTGGTTTTTCAAAATTTTGATTTCGAAGTCTTCTGGAGACGTTCCTTTGTTTCACCACACTAAACGGTGGTGGGCAGGAAGGGTGTTGGGCAGAAAGGGCGATAATGGAGGCCGGAGGCCAGGAGGTTTAGCCCCGAAGGGGCGTAAACGGACTGGTTGTCTAACATTTGCCTGATGTACCAGTTTACCATGATGGCCTAGAAAACACAACTTGCGGAAACTGGAACACCATGGCAAATGGCCTAGAAAAATCACATTGAGAAAGTTAGGCCACCAACTTTACGCGCACCCACACTTCATTTGTTGACTTGGTTGGGGCTATAATGAAGTGTTCTCTAAACTGTACTTTTTAATATCATTGTTTTTCCTTTTATCTTTTATTAGTTTTCCATGCGAATTACTGAAAAAAAACAATTTACTGCGCAATTCTCTTTTTTTCCCAGTAATTTGTTCCAGTAGACACTCTGCAAATGAATTCTGGGAGTTCTCAAAGGGGTTTTACAGAAAAGACAAATGAATATTAACACAATTTGGAGAATAACAACTGATTTCCCAATAGTTTGCACTGAACCTAATTTAAAATAATTATTGAAAATTCATATAAAAACAAGGACTACTGCCTTTTTTTTTGAAGTCTAATTGATCTTTTAAAGTACTTTGATTCTCTATAAAATCAGCTTATAACTCCCCCCCCCCCCCCGTTTTCTCAAATTGCAGAGCAGTCTGAAACCATTGATATGAATACAACGGCGGTGGTAATTTCTGTATTGGGACTTGTATTCGCTCTTGTTACGTGTTTATGAATATTGTTCTTCTGAAAACCTATATGAAGTAAGTCTAGATTCAGAATCTAGCAGTTGTAAGAACTATTGAATCTACAGAGAGATCAAAGTTGTGTTCCAGAAGTTTCCAGTTTCATTTCATTTCAGAAAGAAAACGAAATGGCTCTATTCTACTACCGATTCGCACTGGATTTAGTTTGGGGAGCACAGTTTGCTTTTTTCCTGCTTTTCGTAATACTTTACTCATTCTTTACGGATCAACTTTCGGATTATCAAAACTTTATATTTTATATTTCACTGCCGGCGCTAAATGTTTCAGCATGCCGGTCTATCATAGTACTATCAGTAGCGATTGAGAGAATAGTGGTAGGTAGAAGTGTGTGACTTCCGATTTCCACTTACCGGTAACGGCTTTTTTGGTGATTTCACCGGTAATTTACCGGTAACAGTTCTAAAATGTCGCGGTTCTAAAACGTCGCGGTTCTGAAACGTCGCGGTTCTTAAACGTCGGGTTCTAAAATGTCGCGGTTCTAAAACGTCGCGGTTCTGAAACGTCGCGGTTCTAAAATGTCGCGGTTCTAAAACTTCGCGGTTCTGAAACGTCGCGGTTCTTAAACGTCGCGGTTCTAAAATGTCGCGGTTCTGAAACGTCGCGGTTCTGAAACGTCGCGGTTCTGAACCGTCGCGGTTCTAAAATGTCGCGGATCTAAAACGTCGCGGTTCTGAAACGTCGCGGTTCTTAAACGTCGCGGTTCTAAAATCTCGCGGTTCTAAAAGTTCGCGGTTCTGAAACGTCGCGGTTCTGAACCGTCGCGTTCTTAAACGTCGCGGTTCTAAAATGTCGCGGTTCTGAAACGTCGCGGTTCTGAAACGTCGCGGTTCTGAACCGTCGCGGTTCTAAAAAGTCGCAGTTCTAAAACGTCGCGGTTCTAAAATGTCGCGGTTCTAAAACGTCGCGGTTCTGAAACGTCGCGGTTCTTAAACGTCGCGGTTCTAAAATGTCGCGGTTCTAAAACTTCGCGGTTCTGAAACATCGCGGTTCTTAAACGTCGCGGTTCTAAAATGTCGCGGTTCTAAATCGTCGCAGTTCTGAAATGTCGCGGGTCTAAAATGTCGCGGTTCTAAAATGTCGCGGTTCTAAAACGTCGCGGTTCTAAAATGTCGCGGTTCTAAAACGTCGCGGTTCTGAAACGTCGCGGTTCTTAAACGTCGCGGTTCTAAAATGTCGCGGTTCTGAAACATCGCGGTTCGGAAACGTCGCGGTTCTGAACCGTCGCGTTCTAAAACGTCGCGGTTCTTGAACATTGTGGTTCTTAAACGTTGCGGTTCTAAAACGTCGCAGTTCTAAAACGTCGCGTTTTTTAAATGTCGCGGTTCTAAAATGTCGCAGTACTAAATCGTCGCAGTTCTGAAATGTCGCGGGTCTAAAATGTCGCGGTTCTAAAATGTCGCGGTTCTCTGGTTACAAATTTTGAAAAAAAACAGGAAAATTTCCTAAAAATTATCGATAGTTTTCGGTAAATTTCGGTAAATTTTTCGGTATTTCGGTAATTCGGTAAACTCTACCGGTAGTTTTACCGGTGAAATACCGGTAATGTACCGGTCTGTTACCGAAACGGTATCGGTAGCACACACTGGTAGGTAGGCCCAATAAAATATCAATAGAGCGTATTTGCTGCCTTTAAGGCCGCCTATGCCCCAATCTTCTTTCACAACTATCGCCACCGATGTCCAAACATCATCATTCTGATGCTAGCAGTAATATTCGGCTTGACTGATGACGTGGTTCTATACGGGTTCTGCGACTTTCATTTGAATGTACCTAAAAATTGTGTTTCTCTTGGTTGTGCAGTAAACCCTTGTTTTTTCAACTACTGGACCACGCACAAAACGGTAGGTTTTTGAAATCTATCTAAACCTGATTTTATGGTTTCAGGTAATTTTCGCTATGATCTTTTCATTTTATTTGCTGTTATGTATCAAGTTGTTTATCATTAACAATATCATGAAAACTGGGGACACCGAGTTTTCAAGAGTCAGTGATGTTTTGTATTCTTGTTGTTCATCTAGAATTTTCAGCTCAATCGTCTAGCTCTTATTGATGCTGCCATTGTTTTTACGTTTAACTTTTTGCCGGATTTCATTGCGAGACAATTTTCAACGGCTCAATTTTTCAGTCCACTGGTACTAACGCATTTTTTTTTCAAAAATTCAAATTGTTTTAAGAACATTGGTCCGTATGGAGGAGTTGCAAAAATATTTGGATGTGCCATTGAAGCATTTCTAGTTTTTCGAACAATGCAAAAAAGAAAAGAATCGAAAATTGTTGAAAAAAGTAAATCAAACGGATGGAATTCGAAGAAAGGTCAATTCCGAAACTCGAATTAATTGATTTCTTCCATTTGTTTTTTTTAATACAAGCCCCCTCGAGGAATTGAACTTGTGGGCCCACTGATGAATGTGCGGCTTCGCTACCAGCTGAGCTACAGTGGGCAAAAGTCGGCCGATGTCAAAGCCTTGGGAACGACGGGAACCAATCTCAAGGATCACAATAAAGCGTGTTTTTTTGGTATTTTCCCGGAACAGTTCTTACAAAATAATATAATAGAAAATCAAATCAATTCGCTAAATTTTTAATAAACTTGATAGCTTTTAGCAGTTTTTTTCCTGGTTTTCCAGAAAACCCTGTGCAAATTGGTTCTGACTATTCTTACAGGAAGGGTTTTTACAGAACAACGATAATATTGAGTTTATGAGAAATTCAATTTTTTTTAAAACATGATTTACCAATATTAAACCACTCAAAGTGAAATTCATAGGTCTTGTCTTCTCTTTGGCATTTTATGCTTTTGTGGATGAAGCGGTTTAATTTTTAAAAAAGTTCGTCTTAGTTTCAATAACAACTTTTCTGTTTAACATTTTTTGATACCCGTTACATGGACCGAGAAAAGTTGTTTCTAGACAACCCTATTTTAATTATGTGCACTTTAGCTAATCGAGTATTCATTTATATTAGGTTGAAAGGAAAGTAACTGTCCATTTTTTATTTCGTGAATAACACAAAAACAAGATTAATCCAAGATTGTCAGTATGCACCGTCCGGGTCCACGACATGCTGGTAGCATTCAGGTAACTTGTGGATACCATACCTTCAAAAGCCAGCTGGTCGCGACTGAAAGTATTTTTTCAGTCCAGAGTTTATCTCATCTACAGTGTTGAATTAATTCCCTCCAGATGACGTAGCATATATCCTAATAACCAATGATGAAAAGGCAGGAGTTTGCGAGGGCGTGAAGAAGAACCGTCCAGCTAAAGCGGCCCAGGTCTGGTCTTACTTGACTTCTCGTGGAAAATAGGAACCCGCTTTATTTAAGGAAAGTCAATTCAGTCCTAAACTGCTTTGGATGGACAGATGCCCACGTTCCTTTTAATTCAACACTGTAGATGAGATAAAATCTGGACTTAAAAAATACTTTGAGTCGCGGCCAGCTGGCCTTTGAAGGGACGGTATCCACAAGTTACCTGAATGTTGTCAGGATGCCGTGGACCACGACGGTGCATACTGTCAATCTTGGATAATTTTTGTTTTTGTGTTATTCACGAATTAACAAATGGACAGTTACTTTCCTTCCAACCTAATATTTTTTTAATCAATTAGAAAAATAAGTATGTATGTAGTAATGAATGTAGGAAGGGAAGTAGAATTTTTGAGAAATTCGAAAAAAAGGCCAGAATTTCTTAGAAACTAAAACCGCATCATCTTCGAACCTCATTATTTATCATTTTTCTCCTTATGTTACGGCATAAGTCTAATAAACAAAACCATAGTTCCAAAACACAAAATTTTAATTATTCAATGAATTTTCCATATTTCTAGCTCAGTCGTTGAAATCCTTTTGCATACGTTATGTATGTGAGAATCTTGAATTTATATGTACTTTTCACATTTTCTTTCAGAGAATGGCACAACAATCTGAGCAGATTAAAATGAATTTTTCGGCTGTGGCAATTTCTACATTGGGATTTATATCCGCTCTTTTCACATGTTTCATGAATATTATTCTTCTGAAAAATTATATGAAGTAGGTCATCTGTAATCGAGTTTTCTCTGAAACCCTTCATTCCAGAAAGAAAAACGACATGGCTCTTTTCTATTACCGATTTGCATTGGATGTGATTATGGGAGCACTGCTTGCCGGTTTCCTATTATTAGCAGTATTGTATTCCGCATTCTCAAATCAATTTTCCTATTTACAAAACCTTATTTTCTATTTTTCACTACCAGCGTCAAATGTAGCTGCATGCCGGTCTATAGTCGCACTTACTGTGGCAATTGAAAGAATGGTGGTAAGCAGGTTTGACAAAATATCAATGGAGCACATTTGCTTTATTTGCAGGCTGCCTATGCGCCAATATTTTTTCACAACTATCGCCAACAGTTTCCAACTGTCATTATTTTGATGTTAGCAGTGATATTCGGCTTGACCGAAGACGCTGTTTTATACGGGTTCTGCGATTTCCGTCTGAATATGCCTAAAAATTGTGCTGCCCTTGGTTGTGCCTTAAACCCTTGCTTTTTCAATTACTGGACCACCCATAAGGCGGTATGTTATTTTTTGGAATTTGGCAATGACTGATTCTAGGTTTTTAGACAATTTTCGTTATGACTTTAGTGTTTATTTGGCTGTTGTGTATCAAACTGTTCATCATTAACAATATAATGAAGACTGGTGCAGCCGAACTTTCAAGAGTGAGTACTGTTTTTATCTTTTTCTTATCATTTGGAGTCTAAAATTCTCAGGTCAATCGTCTTGCACTTATTGATGCAGCCATTGTTTGTACGTTTGATTATCTGCCCAATTTCATTGCCAAACAATTCTCAACAACTCAATTTTTCAGCTACGAGGTATTAATGATAAAGCATTTTTTTTGAAAATCTAAGTTATTTTAAAGAACATCGGTCCGTATGGAGCAGTTGCGAAGGTATTAGGATGTGCCATTGAAGCATTTCTAGTCTTTCGGACAATGCGGAAAGGGAAAGGATCGAGAATTTCTGAAAATAGCAGATCATCTAGTCGGCACTTGAAACAGAAGAACATAACCAAAGTTTGAAACATAATTTTTTTCATTGACGTATTTAAAGAAGGTTCCCCTCCCAATTTAAAATGTACAGTGGCGAGAAGTGGTGAGGAGAATTCTTTCGAACATTCATAACTTTGTTCAAAATGGCTCAATTGACTTGAAATTTTGCATGAGAATAGCTGTGAAATCCAAAAGCATAAAAATCCATACTCGTAAAATTCCGGGCCGGCACGCCAAAGCCCGGTAGCAAAAATTTTGTCATTTTGAACCGAATTTTGAGCTCTCAATACAATTTCCTATATTTTTTTGTGCTTTTTGGATTGTTTGTCTGTTTGATCAAAAAATATCAACAAAAAAAACTCGAAAAAAATCACATAAGGGTCCTCCCTTATGTGATTTTTGAAATTTTCAAAACTTGTAAAATGACAGGCCCGCCGGGCCGGGCCTCCGAAATTCGGGAGAAAGCTCGGCCCGGCCCGGCCCGTTACAAGTATGTAAAAATCGGTTTTTTGAAACGTTCTCATTTTCGGAATTTTCAGAGCAGTTTCAAATGTAACAGTGGTCAGAGAATCCAAAAAAAAAACTTTTTTCCAGAATTTTTTTTTGGGGCTTTGATTTTTGATGTCAAATGACTCACAGTGTCCAAATATATTTTCTACGATTGAAAAACTTTTGACATAAAACTGATAAACAACTCAAAACACATCATTTGTGAAATTTCGAGCATCCAAAATACATTTTCAGCTGAGTTATGGCAAAAATGCCGAAACATACCATTTGTGCTCTGAGCATCATAACTCGAGAGACCGATTTCCAAAACTCTTTAAAACTTTTTTGGTACATATTTGGACACTGAGAATCTTTTTACATCTAAAATCAAAGCTAGAAAAATTCTGGAAAAAAAGTTTTTTTTTGGATTCTCTGACCACTGTTACATCTGAAACTGCTCTGAAAATTCTGAAAATGAGAAATTTCCAAAAAAAAAGGATTTTTATGTTTCTGAATCTTACAGCTATTCTCATAAAAAATTTCATATCAATCGAGCGATTTTGAATAAAGTTATGAATGTTCGAAAAAATTCCCCTCACCACTTCTCGCCACTGTATACAACCTCTATTTCAAAATGTACCTTCAAAAAACAAAATCAGTTTTGCTGACACATCTTCTTTGAGCTCATTATGTCTTATTTTTCACACGAGTCAGAAAAACAAAACCACAGTTCTAAAATATATTTTACTTATTTAACGAACTTGTTTTCTAGCTCTATTCGTTTTTTAAAATTTTACTCTTTCAGCCATTGAAGGCCTCTTTTTCATATGTTCTTTTCATCTGTTTTAAAGAGTTTTGGAAATCGGTCTCTCGAGTTATGATGCTCAGAGCACAAATGGTATGTTTCGGCATTTTTGCCAAACTCAGCTGAAAATGTATTTTGGATGCTCGAAATTTCACAAATGATGTGTTTTGAGTTGTTTATCAGTTTTATGTCAAAAGTTTTTCAATCGAAGAAAATATATTTGGACACTGTGAGTCATTTGACATCTAAAATCAAAGCTAGAAAAATTCTGGAAAAAAAGTTTTTTTTTGGATTCTCTGACCACTGTTACATCTGAAACTGCTCTGAAAATTCTGAAAATGAGAAATTTCCAAAAAAAAAGGATTTTTATGTTTCTGAATCTTACAGCTATTCTCATAAAAAATTTCATATCAATCGAGCGATTTTGAATAAAGTTATGAATGTTCGAAAAAATTCCCCTCACCACTTCTCGCCACTGTATACAACCTCTATTTCAAAATGTACCTTCAAAAAACAAAATCAGTTTTGCTGACACATCTTCTTTGAGCTCATTATGTCTTATTTTTCACACGAGTCAGAAAAACAAAACCACAGTTCTAAAATATATTTTACTTATTTAACGAACTTGTTTTCTAGCTCTATTCGTTTTTTAAAATTTTACTCTTTCAGCCATTGAAGGCCTCTTTTTCATATGTTCTTTTCATCTGTTTTAAAGAGTTTTGGAAATCGGTCTCTCGAGTTATGATGCTCAGAGCACAAATGGTATGTTTCGGCATTTTTGCCAAACTCAGCTGAAAATGTATTTTGGATGCTCGAAATTTCACAAATGATGTGTTTTGAGTTGTTTATCAGTTTTATGTCAAAAGTTTTTCAATCGAAGAAAATTATTTGGACACTGTGAGTCATTTGACATCAAAAATCAGAGCCCCAAAAAAAATTCTGGAAAAAAGTTTTTTTTTTTGGATTCTCTGACCACTGTTACATTTGAAACTGCTCTGAAAATTCCGAAAATGAGAACGTTTCAAAAAACCGATTTTTACAGACAGTTGGAAACTGTTGGCGATAGTTGTGAAAGAATATTGGCGCATAGGCAGCCTGCAAATAAAGCAAATGTGCTCCATTGATATTTTGTCAAACCTGCTTACCACCATTCTTTCAATTGCCACAGTAAGTGCGACTATAGACCGGCATGCTGCTACATTTGACGCTGGTAGTGAAAAATAGAAAATAAGGTTTTGTAAATAGGAAGATTGATTTGAGAATGCGGAATACAATACTGCTAATAATAGGAAATTGGCAAGCAGTGCTCCCATAATCACATCCAATGCAAATCGGTAATAGAAAAGAGCCATGTCGTTTTTCTTTCTGGAATGAAGGGTTTCAGAGAAAACTCGATTACAGATGACCTACTTCATATAATTTTTCAGAAGAATAATATTTATAAAACATGTTACAAGACCGGATACAAATCCCACTACAGAAATCGCCACCGCCGATGTGTTCATTCTAATCTGCTCGGATTGATATTCCATTTCTAGTAAAAATGTGAATGTTGTAATTTTATTTTATAGGCAATCGGAATAATCAAAATCTTAATTAGATCTCTGAAATGCTAAGCCAAAAGATGAAAAGAACATATGAAAAAGAGGCCTTCAATGGCTGAAAGAGTAAAATTTTAAAAAACGAATAGAGCTAGAAAACAAGTTCGTTAAATAAGTAAAATATATTTTAGAACTGTGGTTTTGTTTTTCTGACTCGTGTGAAAAATAAGACATAATGAGCTCAAAGAAGATGTGTCAGCAAAACTGATTTTGTTTTTTGAAGGTACATTTTGAAATAGAGGTTTCGCAATAGATGTCATTTCGGGTCCACTGCTGGCTTCTTACCTATTATTAGTAGTGTTTTATTTGTTTTTTGTCAATCAACTTTTTGAATATCACAACTTTATATTCTATTTCTCACTGCCAGCGTCAAATGTTTTAGCATGCCGGTCTATCATAGTACTATCTATCATAGATTCATAGATCGGATATCTATCATAGATTGAGGGAATGTCATAGATTGAGAGAATGGTGGTAGGCCGATCCAATAAAATATCAATAGAGCGTATTTGCTGTTCTGCAACTTTCATCTGAATATTCCGAAAAATTGTGCGGCCTTTGGTTGTGCTATAAATTCTTGTTTTTCGTACTACTGGACCACTCATAAATCGGTAGGACCTTTTATTGTCTATTCAAAATAATCGCG